TCGGAAGACAGGGTATTGGGCTAGATAGACCTTTTGTCTGACCCAGTATGGCCATTCTTATGTACTGTGTAAGAGATCTTTACCTGCTGGTTTGTGTGTGTGCGTGCACGTGAATAGATTTATTTTGGAAAAGTAATATTATTTCTCACTTTCAGCTCTGAACTTGCTTTTTCTGATTTGCTTTGTTGAAATATTATAGAGATTAATAGTTCCCACGTCTTAACACATCTTTAAAAACTGGAAGGAGAAATTATTAGCTAAGCAACACAGAGCTGTTGAATATAGCTAGTGTTATGAGAGTCAAAATACCCCTGTCCAATCATCCCATCTTAGCCCTAGGAGCAGCAACTGTGTCTTAGCTGGTCGGAGAAGGGTAGATGGCAGTTGAAAGAGGAGGGAAGAGCTAAAAGAACTGACTTTTTTTTTCTTTTTCGTTTTTGTTAACAAATGCAAGACTTCCGGTCTCCACCCTGCCACCACAAACCGCAGTCTAACTGCTGTTCAGTCAGATTTATAGCTCATCTGACGTTGGAATCTTAGCATTTATTACCAGGGCTCTGGCTATAGGCGTAAATAGGCTCCGTAAATTATAGCAGTTGATCTGTTGTGCTGTTGAGCAATGTTTAACTCGCCTTTTATGGAAACCCTTTTTGGGGGAAAAATTATATATGAACAAAGCTTGTCTAGGCTTAAAGCCTTTGAAAGTAAAGTGATCTATGGAGTGTGTGAGACTGTGGGTACCTTAGCCCTCATTCTGGCTTACCCACACTTCACAGAGAAAAAATGTCTGCGGCTGATTAGCAACTCCAGTATTATGTTATCCACATTGATTTACTGTTGCTTAAATTGATTAGCTGCAACTAGGGTTTGAGGGTAAGGGAAGAAATCAATTACTATAGGTACACTGCTCAGCTGTTTATATCTTCTGAGAACTCTGGCAGTCATTGGGGCCAGGCTAATGAGTCATCCCCGAGTTACCTGGGGGCACAAAACAGGAGTGTTCACACTGCTAAGCAGACAAGTTACCAGCCCAAGGAAATGCCTAGCTCTGGCATTAACCTGTACTCCTGGATGGGCCTGCTAGCCAGGGTGTAAAACACTACTGCGCTCAAATGAGAAATTTTTGTATGTGGGGATGGAATGGGAGGCATGGGGCAGCATCTTAGCTTCCCTGGGGCCTCTGACAATCCTGACCGATGTCCTTTTGACAATAGTTTAGACTTGGATCTTGGTTCTCTTGTCTTTGAAAAAGCATTTTGAAAGCTGTGGGAAGAGAGTGATCATTAAGTGTTCAGGATTTATAAGCTTATGTTATTTATCTCGTAATAAATCTCTTGTTTTCCCTCCCTGTCTCTGTAGATTCCCAAGTTCTTCAGGGGCCGGGGGATCGGTCACACTGGTGCGTGGTGGCATACTGGGAAGAGAAAACACGTGTGGGTCGGCTGTACTCTGTCCAAGAGCCCTCCCTGGATATCTTCTATGATCTACCTCAGGGGAACGGCTTCTGCCTCGGACAACTCAATTCAGACAACAAAAGCCAGCTGGTGCAGAAAGTCCGCAGCAAAATTGGCTACGGCATCCAGCTGACGAAGGAAGTGGACGGCGTGTGGGTATACAATCGCAGTAGTTACCCTATCTTTATCAAGTCGGCCACACTGGACAACCCCGACTCCAGGACGTTGCTGGTTCACAAAGTGTTCCCAGGATTTTCCATCAAGGCTTTTGACTATGAGAAGGCATACAGCTTACAGAGGCCTAACGACCACGAGTTCATGCAGCAGCCATGGACTGGATTTACTGTTCAGATCAGCTTTGTGAAAGGCTGGGGCCAGTGCTACACAAGACAGTTTATCAGCAGTTGCCCATGCTGGTTGGAGGTTATTTTTAATAACCGATGACTTGAGACAGAGAGGACTCATGACATTATAACTACTTTGCTGCTATTATTTCCTTCTGAGTGCTTGCTTTTCATGCAGACTTTTTTCTTTGTTTTTGTGTTTTGTGTTCTCTCTCCCCCGGCTGTTTTGAGAAATAGCTTATGGAAAGAATTTTGCCTATTTGTTTTAAAAAGTGTGAATGACCAACAACTCAGAAGAGGATGGGGAAGGTGTGGGAGGGAATTATATAAAATAATATCACTTAATGCCTCTAAAATTATTACTCTGAAGTGATTGGTGGAATTCAGTCACATGCTCCCTCTCTTGAACAAAAAGTATTTAATATGATTTTGACACACCAGAGGTCTGCTGCTGCCAAAGGTCTCCTCACCTTCCCTTGTCATGCAGAGGGTGTGTGCACACACATGCGTGTGCACACAGGGCCATCTTGTTGCAGCTTCTGCTCGGAGTGGTGGCACATTACTGCTACTTGTCAAAGTGCAGCATCTTCATTCTTGTGATGTTAAGCCAAGTTCTCCCCAGTGGTAATCACCCTGCTTTGTCCCTGACACAGGACAAATGTATGCGCCCATGCACCCAGGAGGCATTAGGAGCCAATGCAGCAAAGTGAAACCTTATCATTCAGTTCCTTGCTCCTCTTCTCCCCTCCCCCCAATTTTCTTTTGTGTATGCTTGTTGCTTTATTTAAAGATCACATCTTGTCACTGTTATGCTGACAGTCCATGGTGGAAGCATGGGTTTTGGAAGACGCATGCCTACACTTTGAGTGCTTTTATTGTTTTATTGATACTATGAGGAAAAAAAACCATGCATGGCCCATGCTTTTCAATTTGAGCTGAGACACAAACTAGGTGAGAAAATATACACCTAAAAAAGGAAAACAGAAACCTAGGGTAAAATGTATTCATGATCTTTGGTCCATCATAACCTGCCGTGATCAGGTTAGAGCGGTACCAGTTGTATCCAGAAACGCAGTTGCTCTTTCATTTCTTCTTGAATTCATACTCTAGTATGATACTTTTACACTGTTCTTAGCTCAATGAGCATGTTTAGACCTTAACATAAGCTATTTTTCTAAATATAAAGGTTTAAATGAACAAGAGAAGCAGTCTCATTGGAACTTTAGCATTGTAGTGCTTTGGAAATAAAAAGAAAAAGAAAAAAAAAGGACTCCTTAAAAAAACCTTGAGATTTATTAAAGAAAAATGTATTTTATGTTATATATAAATATATTATTACTTGTAAATACAAAAGACGTTTTATAAGCATCATTATTTATGTATTGTGCAATGTGTATAAACGAGAAAAATAAGAAAGATGCACTTTGCTTTAATATAAATGCAAATAACAAATGCCAAATTTAAAAAAAACACGAGATTGGTGTTTTTTTTTCCTATGGGTGTTATCATCCAGATGAATGTTTTTTCTAAAGGAGTTTATGTTCCATTAAAAAATAAAAATGTACACTTGAGCTGCTGTTTTGTAGAGTAACTCATTTATGGATGGGAGTAGGGTTGATGAAAATCAAGTAAAAAGACTACCTGGAGCTGGGTCTAAGTTCCCAGTGATGGGATTAAGCAGACATTGCTATTTGACTAGGGGCTGACTATACAGCTGCTGCTCAGGTTTCGGAGGGAGGGTCGACAGCTGGTTAGAACTAAGGAGCACACCACTTCATCTGATAGGTGGTGCCAGCAACATGCTGGATTTCTTCCAGCACTGGCCTCAGCTGCTGTTCTGATTTTTTTGCTCCCCCACTCTGCACAGAATGACCTGGCTGGCGCGAACAGAACAAGGGTGAGGAACAGCGGGCTCTACCCAAGCTAGTTCACACAGCTTAGCCTCTCAAAGGTCAGGAAGTCTGCTTCTTTCCTACCACCATGGGAATATGTGCTCTTCCCCAGTTACTGTGGTTTCTGATCACCTCATGCTCTTTCATGCATTTATCACCTGTGTGAGCTAGAAGACGCTGTCATCCCCAGTGTACAGAGGGGAACCTGAAATCCAGAGAGGCTCATGGATGTGTCCTCAGTCACCTAGGAAGGCTTTAGCAGAGCAAGGATCTTGAATTTCATCCCCAAGAACTCCATGCCATAAGCACTGCACCATGCACTTCTCACATACTGGAAACGTCAGATATTACAGGTGGGGAGGGAACATGGCCTAATCTCCCTCCATTGCCTATTGCAGTTCCCACTGACTGCCCATAGAAGGGTAGGCAGATTGGTATGCTGTAGGATTAGCCAGTTAAACAAGGAGCCATGGGCTCCCTCTTGGAGGGTGAGTTACAGCCGTTGCCAGAGTGCCTCCTATTGCAAGGGCTTAAGGCCAGTGTTCAGTAACTAGCTCGTATCCAGGCTTAGCGATGAGACTAGCTATAAGATGTACAACAGGAATGCAGAGAAGAAGTTGGAGGGGCAACCGGAGGAAATAAGATTACAACCAAAAGTGGCGACAAAAAAAATTTTCAGTGCCAATTATTTCTTTGGTAAAGGCACCTTTTATAAGAAGGTCTGTCACATTGGCTAGCTATGCATCTCCCTTTGGGATAGAAGGTAGTTTAGCAACTAGCACAGAGAAAATCCAGGAACACGGAGGGTGGGAAATGTCAGTCAAAGACCATGGAATGCCATCTACTATCGCGGACCACGTTACGACATTGAAAGTGTCATGCTAAGCAGGTAAGCCATTCGATTTGTAAGGGTGCTGCTGAGAGAGCTACATGCACTAGCTTGCATAGTAATTCAGCCCGGGTACCTCCGGGAGGAAGGGTTGAGTTGCATTTGACTGCGAAGTGCCAGTGCAGCGAGATTGGCAAAACTTAGGCAAACCTTGGGATACTGACCAGTTTCCAGTGGCGGGCAGGCGGGTGTCACATGTCCTAGGAACTTGGGAGGCAAGAGAACCATGTCTGGTCACCAGGATGGGTTTAGGGCAAGTGGGAAGCATGTTGCAATGCTTGGCTGGTGGGTGACGCACCCAACCCAGCTCCCTGCTTAAACCTGCTACATTTAGCTATGCACTGTGGCCAATTAGTTTTCAGCTCCAATTCATGGCGCACAGGGTGTTCAGGTTAGTGGAACGGGAGTGGGCATGGACAGAGCTGCCAGTAGGGCGAGGTTATTGGCTCAGGCCTGAGGGCACTTTCAGGAGTTCTGCAGGAGGACAGGTATATTAAGGGTATTGAACTGTTGAGGGGAGTGGTTATGTCAGGCCACTTGGGTGGATGAGGACAACCTGGGGGTAAATTAAAGGTGCAGTATGGATTATGTGAAAGGTAGCAGGGAGGCTTTCAGGGAAGTCAGTACTTAGCTGTAGGAAAAAAAATGGTGATGGGATGGTCACATATCAGGGCTCTAGGAAAATTCTGTTCTGCATTAGGGCTGCTTCTGAGTAACAGCATGGACCATGTTTGGCTGCTGAGTCGGTCCTGTGGGGGGGGGGGGGGGGGCAGCAATCACTGCTTTCTTTGAAAGAGGAGGAGGCCGGGAGGTGCCAACTTGAGTTTGAAGCGCAACATTAGTCATGATGAAAAGCAGCAGCCTCCTGGCACCTGAAGTCCTCAGGCAGGTACCCCATGAGCATCAACAGTGCGGGTTTCTTTCTCACCGCTATCCCTAGGTGAGGAGCTGTTCAGTCTCTAGGCCCTCTCAAGGCTACGTCTAGACTGCAGGCTTCTTTCGGCAGAAGCTTTTCCGGAAGAGATCTTCTGAAAAAACTTACAAAAGAGCACCTCCACACCGCCAAAGCACATGGAAAAACCGAGCTGCTTTTTCAAAAGACTCCACACGGGACGCTAGCGTGCATTTAACGTGATTACTGTGGATGGAGTGGCCACCAGGGCTTCGTCCTCGTAGAACGAGGTTTACCAATGCTGGAAAAACCCCTCTGTTCTTTTGATTTTCTTTCAAAAGAACGCGCTTGAAGTGTGGCCGTAATTGAAGTTTTTTTCTGAAAAACAGCTGTTTTTCCAAAAAAAAAAAACCCGCTGTAGTATAGACTTACCCTCAGTTCCCAGCCTTTTTGATGACTCAGCACAGGGACACCAGTTGTGAAAGTGTTTTTGGAGACATCTACAGCAGTGGTCCCCAACATTTTGGGACTTCTGGGTGCCCGGGGGCAGGGCCGCACACACACACACACACACACACACACTGTGCGCCTGGGGGTGGGGCCATGCTTGCACCATGCGCCCAGCACCGCGCATGTGCCATGTGCTCGGGGCAGCAGCTGCGCATGCACTCCGGGGGTGTGCCGCACGCCCGGGGCACAAGAATGGCTTGGGCCAGCCCTGGTCACTCAGCCGGCGCACATAAATACCCCCACGGGCACCACGTTGGGGACCACTGATCTACAGTCTTTAAGATAGGGATTGTATTTGTACAGTATCCAGCATGATGGGCTCTGATCATGCCTGATCCCGCCCCCTCCCCATGGGAAATACAGAAATATAAACTAACTATGGTGTATTTCCCTAGGAACGGCCTGCAACCTCATCTAGGAGTGTTTCATCTTGGCCAGCAGAGAGTCATCAAAACACCATTCTGTCATGTGCTAGGTTTGAGTTGGAGACCCAAAGAGAGACAATGCAGAACCCTATTACCAGCTTCCAACCTTTCCTCTTTTAACAGGGGTTCAGTGTCAAAGTTAGTGATTCTTTAACTACTACTGTTACTCAGAATGTCGTGCTTGGTCCTCTTCATGTGATTGCGAAGAGGTCAAATGTTGTATCAGCTTCATCTATACCATGGCTACGTCTAGGCTAGCATGATTTTCCACAAATGCTTTTAATGGAAAAGTTTTCCATTAAAAGCATTTGCGGAAAAGAGTGCCTAGCTTGGCACAGACGCTTTTCCACAAAAGCACTTTTTGCGGAAAAGTGTCCGTGCCAATCTAGACGCGGTTTTGCACAAGAAAGCCCTGATCACCATTTTCGCGATCGGGGCTTTTTTGCGCAAAACAATACCACGTTGTCTACACTGGCCTTCTTGCGCAAAAGCATTTGCGCAAGAAGGCTTTTGCCCAAACGGGAGCAGCATAGCATTTCTGCAAGAAGCACTGATTTCAGACAGTAGGAAGTCAGTGTTCTTTCAGAAATTCAAGCGGCCAGTGTAGACAGCTGGCAAGTTGTTCTGCAAAAGCAGCTGCTTTTGCGGAAAAACTTGCCAGTCTAGACGCAGCCCATAAGTCAGTTTGTTTTCTTTGTATTCTCTGCCAGCAGACTTGAAATATTCAATGGTCACAGCACATCACCTACGTTACAAGATGTGATGGATTAATGTAGAATGGTTTAGCTGATGCTGCTATTGTTCTGCCTTTCATTGGAGACCATGGCCAGAGGCAGATTAGGTGTTGTGGGGCCCTGGATCAGAGCAAGAGGGGAGGTGGGGGGGGGGGGGGCCCTCCCACCCCTCTGTCTGCAGTCCCCCTCACCTACCTCAGCACCACCAATAGAAACACATGCTGCCGGCTGTGGGTGCTCTGCTCATCAGCTGGCTGGCATTTGAATCTCTCCTAGGCAGTTGCCAAAACAGTCTGCTTACAGGGAACACTGGTTGCTGCAAGTAGGCTTGCCCTGCGCTGCGTGCCCAACACTCCTGTGAAGGAGTGAGTTTGGGGCTCAGTGGCTTCCCACAAGCCCCATTGGCCCAGTGGCTAATCTGCCCCTGTCCGTGATATTTGACAAAGGCTGCAAGACAAGTCACATTGGAAGCTTTTATGAAGGTTCTTGTGTCAAAGGCCTAAGATCAGTTGCTCAGGGGAGAAAAGCTAGGCAATAACCCGGCCATCAGCGGTTACTGCTGCATAGCCTGAGCTTCAGCTTTGCGTCCAGTATATTTCTTTTGGCATTTTTCACAAACATTCCTTGTGGGGAACACCAAAAATTAGACACTTTGCACTTTTGCACAAGAAGTTTTTGCGCAAGAACTCTTCTGCAAAAGACTCCTTGCGCAAAAACCCTGCAGTGTAGACATATCCTAAGTGTCCTTGTGTAATGCCAACTTAGCCAGAGCATGGGGACGATGATGTCACTACTCAGTGCTGCATGTGGTCAGTCAGTGGTGCAATCGCCTGTATTTACCACCGTAAATCCCCGTACGCACTCTCAGGGAGCATTGATCACGTGGGTGACTGAATACGAATATACTAATGCCACGTCGGACAAAGTCAAAGCTTCAGCTGTCAGACCAGTTGCTTGTATGAGAGTGCGCAGTCTCTTGCGTATACTTTACGTCAGTATAGTTGCGCAATTTCTTCGATTTAAAAATTTAACCATGCCAAATAGAACTTGACTATGATAAATTGATCTACTTAGCTACAGTACAAAACAATAATACTTACTTGTGGTCTACTTTTTCAGCTCCATATATAAGCCTATTATTAGGGGTTCCACAAAATTATTTTGAGTTTAAAAGAGTTTCGTGGCCAAATAAAATTGGGCAACAATAGCCTAGTCATTTTCCAGCCACTATTGCTCAGTGCCCACTGTTCAACAGCCGTGCACACTTCTCTGCGTACTCGCCAAGTAAGGACTGTCTGGATTGAGTAGGTCATGCCAGTGAGTACGTATGATGGTAGGCACATTATATCGGTCAAGAGAATCCATTCACAACCATTTTATACAGCATAGTTTGTTTTCCATTCATCTGGTTCTTGTCTCCCTGGTCGTCA